TAAAGATAAGGTATTCTCAAGTCCACCGCGCGATATTGACGAGTTGCGCCAAAAAATCATCCGAGAATTTAACGCTTTGCGAGAGCAGCCTGCCTTCGTTACACGGGCAGTTCGAGATATGCACAGGCGAACAATGCTTTGTGTTGCAAGAGAAGGGGGACACGTCGAAGGTCACGGCGCTTGATGATTTTGTAAATAATTGTTAATGTGTAAATAATTGTGCTTGGAAAAACTGTAAATACTATCTAAACTGTAAATAATATAAATTTGTTTGCTTATAAGTACATATTGATTAACAGACACTAGAAGGGCTAGCATAATTTCTTGCATAAGATTTGATTCTAGTTTTAATATGCATTCGTGGGTTTAGTACTTTATGCCTGACATAACGAGTTTACGCTGAGTATTAACATTCATTATAGCAGTTATGTCAATCTTTTATGTACTCGTGGGATTAACTTAGTGCTAGGGCATTGAAAATCGAACAATACGTCAATTTCAATGATTTTGGGTTTTTTTGAGACACCCTGTAGTGTTGAATTATATGTAAGTATTTTTAAATTTTGCGTGTTAATATGGCTTTGTTTCATGCAGGATTTTGGTCACTGACATTGCATGGTTGGATATTAGCGTTAATTAAGCAGCCTCATGCATTACCCTCTTGTTTTCTTCCAGTTATAAAAAAGCTTCTCAGCACAGAACGACAATGCTTAGTGTTTTGGGCTCAAATCTAAAACCTAAAACTGCTTATAGGTTTGCATGCATGGTAACTAATGTTAATTCTAATTTTGATTTGTCATGTAGGCATCTGTGCAAAAACAGTTGAGCCAGTATTTTAGGAATCAGCGACACTAGTCCAAACCAAAGAAATCAATGGTACCTGCAACAGGGGAACCAAGCTGGTCTGCAGCTAAGCTGGAGGAGAAAAGATGGATGATATTGTGACACAGAGAAGAAATTTGCAGCTAATTAAGGATTGTAAAGTTGGCTTCAAGGCGCATTGAAACCCTTGACATGTGTCCATATCTTGGCAAAGTGGAAAATGTAAGTTCAATGGTATTCATTTGTCAGGCCATCCAAAACATTAGAATTCGATGAAGCCTGCAAAAAGGATATGCGTTTTCAAAATCCCTTTATAGGCATATTCTTGATTTGAAAATGATGTATGGGCTTGTAGTGCTAACATGATATTTCCAGCCATTCCAAGGCCTCTCATCGACATCTGAACAAGAGTCTAGTCCCTCATATACCACACCAGAACCTGCCACCTCTACACCTTGGAGGAATCTGGAAATTGAAGGCATCTGATGGTGGTCATATGTTACCCAACCCAATGAAAAGGGGAAGACAAATTCGTCGGCACTTCCCACTCATTTGCCATTTCCGGAAATGATACGATTAAGTGACTTATAATAACCAATTAACATCAGAATTTCTGGTAGAGGAGATGGTAATTATGGATTATGAACAATCCAAACTCAGTTAATCTGTCAAAAGAATTATTCAGTGATAAATACGCGGAAGCAATTCTTATAGAATCGCGAAAGACATAACATGCACGAAAGCCGCCATTTGTAAAAAATATCTTACATGATTTGGACACGTGGGTTGGAAAAGAATCAACGAAAAAAATATGTACGTATATTTATTATTTACATTGTGACAAAATCCACGCGTGAGTGCTCGTCGCAACCTCTTCCAATTTCGTCTGCCGGGTTTAACAGGATAACAAGGCTTGATTCAAGATGGCACCCATATCGTATGCATGTGCGTCACAAATTATTAGCGGACGACTTTCCGCGTCGATTACACGTCTCTGAGCGGTTTAACCACAGTTAATCGAATGAGATGGTTAGGCTAGCCAGACCACGTGACAAATATGTTATTGTTCTCTTTTTATTCGTGTCACGTGACGAGATAGTGGGACGCTTCGCGAGGAGTGTAATAGAAAATATATTGACGACAAGCCTTTCGTGTTGTATCAAGTTACATATTCTTGATTGAACGACCGTATTTGATTAAAACCCTAAAGTTTTGGATAATCTGATCCTATTCACGTCTTTAAATAATACTTTGGACTGGTTTTGAGATATTAGCACGCTGTGCAAGGTGTTGACAGAAATTATACTGTTTGTATCATATTCCATTCTTGCGCGGTGTCTACCCAATATGAGCGAAAACTTTACAGTTCGCAAGTATTCAAGGGTATTCATACTTCAAGACGACACGTTTGGAGTATGCCTGGGAAAAACTGTTCTTTTTTTGGTTGTGCTAGCTCCAGTAGACACACTGAACGTTCCTTCTTCAAAATACCTAGTGTAAACACGACGGATGGAGACGAAACAACTGCTTTAAAGAGTACTGCCCGGGCAGAATGGCTGAGGCTGCTCTTGAGAACGAGAGAAATTACGGAGGATTTAAAGACACGCATTGATGCGAATAACATATATTTGTGCGACCTTCATTTCAAACCCGAGTGTATTATTTCGCGTAAGTACGTCTATGGGTTTTAAATATACTGTATTGATTTGAAGTCTGATCTTTACAAGTTCAATAGATAGAACAAAGAATTTCTTTGTTCTCGAACAAAGAAACCATTCTATAATGCATTATTTATAAGTCCACAGGCATAAACAAAATAGTATATAACTATAAACGGTTTTAATATATATCTGACCTTCTCGAGGCATAATTGTGTTTATATAGGGGATGATTTACTAGGACTTGTGTCTATTTCTAGCCTATACTGTAGCTTTGATGCATGGAAGTATGGTACTATGGGATTTATATATTGCAGGGAATTAGACACTGATATTTGACCTGTCAAAATAAATATTTTGGCCAGTTAATATATAACATTTTCTTGCTAAATGACATGTCTGTAATTCAATGTATTGAATGCAAAAGCTTGAATAATGTTAACAAAAAATTTCATGGCAGACATTTATTATATGTCCAGTGTGATTATTTCATTTGCAGATCCAAAAAGAAAGGTTCTGGCTACTGGCACTGTTCCTACAGAGAATTTACCAACACAAAGTCATGAGGGGGAGACTAAAAAGCATCGTGTTTTGGTGAAACATACATTTCCAGACCAACCCAGCACATCTACTGGTGTTACCTCCTCAACCTCCACTATAAATGCCCTGTTAAACCAGCTTCGAAAAAGTGATGTTCTCAGTTGTTGGAAAGTACTTGATGATACCAGTAGTGGATTCAAGATGGAACTATATGATGACTGTCATTCGGTGCCAAAATATACGATGATTTGTGATTCTGGTTTGACGTTTACCCTCTTTACCTACCACTGGCCTATCCCTGATGATCACACATTGTATCGAGAATATAATCGATCTGTTCGAGCTGAGAACATAAATAAACTTTTACGTTCAATTGAATCTTCACAATTGTGTGAAGGATTGCCCCACATCCCAGATGTAAAAGATATTGCTATTGACCCAACTAGTAATGACAGAGTCCCAGGAACAATTCTTCGCCATTCCGTACCCAAAAAACTGGCCAATAATGAGGCAGTGTATGAAGTCTCTGTTTCTTTCAGATCAGTTGATTGTACCGTTTTAAAGGAATCCCAAGATCACCAGGATAACACATGTAAGCCATGCTCCGATTCATTGAAGGCAATTACTAAAGCAAGTAAGCAAAAATCAAGATCATCTTCTGTACCGGCCAAAGCCAAAGCACCATTGTCAGCTTGTGGACCTGAAAAACTTCGTGCTACTGTCAAGGCTACACGACTGCAGAATAAACAGCTAGAGGACAGGCTAGAAATTCTGCAGGCAAAGATCGAAAAAGATGGTATTGGAGTCAGTGCATCACTCGAGACTGATTTACTAAAAATTATGGGAGGACAGAATCTCGAAGTGACACCTCACATGAAATTCTTCTGGGAGCAGCAGATGGCTTTCATGCAGTCAAAGAAAATGGGAAGAAGATACCATCCCCAAGTGATTAGATTTGCCTTGTCTATCCATGGCAAATCACCATCCGCTTACAGAGAGCTTCAAGATAGTGGTGCTCTGATGCTCCCTAGTGAACGAGTGTTGAGGGATTATAAGAACTACTTTAAACCTAAAGCTGGGATCAACAAGGAAAATGTGGAATGCCTGAGAGAGAAAATTAAATCCTTTACTGAAGTCCAGCGGTATGTAGCTATTGTGATTGACGAGATGAAGATACAGTCTAATCTTGTCTTTGACAAACACTCTGGCGACCTAATTGGTTTTATTGACTTGGGTGATCCAATGGTCAATTTTGCTTATGTGGAAGAGGAAACTTTTGCATCCCATGCTCTTGCATTTCTCGTTAGGGGACTGTGCACTGACCTCAAACACATCATCGCATACTTTTTCACCAAAGATCTGACATCCTTCCAGCTAATGCCACTGTTCTGGAGAGCTGTGTCTATCCTCGAGTTGTCACTGCAGTTGTATGTGTGTGCAGCTGTGAACGATGGTGCATCTGCCAACAGAAAGTTTTTCCGCCTGCATTCACAACTGGCACAAGATTTGAAGTGTGATGTTGTATACAAAACACGAAATGTGTTTGCAATGTCACGCTTCATCTATTTCTTTGCAGACTCGCCTCACCTCATCAAGACAGCTCAGAACTGTTTGTAAAACTCCGGTTCTGGTTCCTGCAGCCGATATATGTGGAACAATGGACAATTCCTGTTGTTTCGTCATATTGCTGACCTCTTTTATAGTGACCAGGAGTTTGCACTTCACACACTTCCCAAGCTAACAATGGATCACATCGTGTTAACCCCATATAGTAAGATGAAAGTGAAACTGGCAACGCAGGTACTTAGCAAGTCTGTGATGATTGCTCTTCAGGAGAGTGGGAAAGAAGATGTTCAGGAGACAGCTAGGTTTTGTGGCATGATAAATGATTTCTTTGACTGCACAAATGTTCGGTCATTGACAGAACATATTAGAAAAAGAAATACATTAATCAAGCCATATACCTCAGCTGATGACGAGAGGTTATCTTGGTTGTTGAATGTATTTCTGGAATACCTGAATAGCTGGAAGAACAATATCGCAACACGGCCTGGTACGTTCTCAGCTGATGAGAGAGGCAAGATGTTCTTGTCTCCGCAGACGTATGAAGGATTCAAGATCTCAGTTTATTCGCATGTTGAAGCGATCCAGTTTCTCTTGGAGAAAGGATTCCAGTATGTCTTGACTGAGCAATTCATGCAAGATGTACTGGAAGACTACTTTGTGCACCAACGAAGCAAAGGAGCAAGATCAGACAATCCGACAGCCCAACAATTTGGATACAATGACCTAACTATTGCATCACAGCGAGACATTGCCCCAATTATACGAGGGAATGTTGGGGGAAGGTACGAGAAGACAAAGTGGTACAAGGTCAGTGAATAACCAGTACACAAAAACGTAAGAAGCCATCGAAGGAATAAATAATATTTTGTAATAAAGACACAGCTGTGAATTCTCTATTAATAGTTCCCTTCAAAATACCCCCACAATAGGGGAAATGTTGCTTTAAGACAATTGGTACATGTATGAATGACTTTAGCCTCTTCTGCAAGCATCTCGTGGTACTTACTTAGAACAGTGAACTATATACAGTTCTGTTATATAGTTCAGTGACTTAGAAAAACATAATTTATTTGAATAACTAAATTATAGAAGTTCTCGACAATTAAGAGATGTCTGTTGAGGAAGCTAGAATGACTTATTTATCCAAGCTTTTATATCCAATAATCTTCCTGTTTTAAAAATCTGAAGGGATCTTAGGGAGAGAATTCACACAACTAGTCGAGGACCTGTATATGAGTTTGTATGCATTTCATTTAGGACAGATAATCTCAACTGTTTTAGGGCAAGTTGACCATGACGGTCAACATGGTAATGCTGCCCGAACCCCAATCCGGGACGAAACGTCCGAAACTGACCACACCCAAAAACGACGCTTTCGCCATACTGCCATCTACCAAACCATAAAAGCTTTGGCTATTCTGAGGTGCTTATATGGTTCAGAGATGGTACTTTTGGGGGTGATCATTGGTAAGTGCGAAATGCCTAGCACTAATATTTCACAAGAAAATGACCATGCAATAATCATAGTTAAACGTCAATTTGTGGCTTGCAACTTCAGATAAACAGCAGTGGACTTACATTACCTTTTTCCCAAAATCTTTTTGATAGAAACATAATTGGTACTTATTTAAATATATTATCACTGGTTTGGTGTAAAATAGTTAATATTTTCTGAACGAAATAATAATTTGAAATGTGCCTACCTCCTGCAAATGGACGTATTTGGCCAAGTTCTCCACTTTACTCCGCTGTTTATCGGCGATCTCGTCGACATCCTACAAAAAATGTAAATCATCTCAGACATAATGGTATCAAGAACATTTTAAACAAGTTTCAACTTGGTTTAAAGTAGATCATACCTGTTTAACCATCGACAAGGTAAATCCACAACTTTGTCCAAATTCGGCGCCATTTTGTCATCCCATGTCGGTTGTCAACAATTCGGCCTTGTTACTCTTCCATCCAAGCCATTTCCATTCCACTAATAATAAATTTAACCCTTTATAACGGTAGGAGACTAAAAAATCTAAACAAAATATAAGAAATGCGCCATTTTATCACCCTGTAAAATCTTGCTCACAAGTCTTTCGGAACATTCCGTACAAATATCGCGTGACAAAGTAACAGGGACGTGACAGGAGGGGGTGAATTATTTCACGAAGGTAGAAGAACGCTGCGTGAAATAGACTAAAAGCTAAATACAATCATACAAACGTTTGTTTTATTTCCTGTAGCGACAAATATATACATCTTATTATTTATTAATATGAAAAAGTCATACAAAATTAAATGTTGATTGTTGGATATTGTGTGGGCTTTCCTTTCATTTTTCAAGTCTCTACCCCCCCTGCCAAGTCCCTTTTGCTAAACCACGCAAGATTTGTACGAAGTGTTTCGAAGGACTCTTAAACAACACTTTACAGGGTGATAAAATGGCGCATTTCTTATATTTTGTTTAGATTTTTTAGTTTCCTACCGTTATAAAGGGTTAAATTTATTATTAGTGGAATGGAAATGGCTTGGATGGAAGAGTAATAAGGCTGAATTGTTGACAACCGACATGGGATGACAAAATGGCGCCGAATTTGGACAAAGTTGTGGATTTACCTTGTCGATGGTTAAACAGGTATGATCCACTTTAAACCAAGTTGAAACTTGTTTAAAATGTTCTTGATACCATTATGTCTGAGATGATTTACAATTTTTGTAGGATGTCGACGAGATCGCTGATAAACAGCAGAGTAAAGTGGAGAACTTGGCCAAATACGTCCATTTGCAGGAGGTAGGCACATTTCAAATTATTATTTCGTTCAGAAAATATTAACTATTTTACACCAAACCAGTGATAATATATTTAAATAAGTACCAATTATGTTTCTATCAAAAAGATTTTGGGAAAAAGGTAATGTAAGTCCACTGCTGTTTATCTGAAGTTGCAAGCCACAAATTGACGTTTAACTATGATTATTGCATGGTCATTTTCTTGTGAAATATTAGTGCTAGGCATTTCACACTTACCAATGATCACCCCCAAAAGTACCATCTCTGAACCATATAAGCACCTCAGAATAGCCAAAGCTTTTATGGTTTGGTAGATAGCAGTATGGCGAAAGCGTCGTTTTTGGGTGTGGTCAGTTTCGGACGTTTCGTCCCGGATTGGGGTTCGGGCAGCGTTACCATGTTGACCGTCATGGTCAACTTGCCCTAAAACAGTTGAGATTATCTGTCCTAAATGAAATGCATACAAACTCATATACAGGTCCTAGACTAAACTGTTCTAGTGTTGTTGTTATTGTTAACATTTAATGCCAACACACAAGTGGATATTAAACAGGCCTTGAATGCCTGTTTGCAAAAGTGGTAATAGCAATGTACCCAGATATCTTACTTTAGAATTTACATTGTCTAACACAAGACAACTTTTTGGTATCTGATAAGGTGTTGCTATTAAATGGGTAGTGTACATTTAGTTCACAATAATAACAGTACCATTATTAGTACTTGCTTGAATCTTAAAAAACCATGGGATATTGTAATGTTTGGTTTTTATGTACTTTTTGCCATTTGAATTTTTGGACTATTGGACTATACTTTTATTGAACTTTATAATGGCAGGCTGAACACTTCACTAGGTAGTTAAATAGTACCTAATAACTAATTGTAAATATGCTGGAAAGAATTGTTTCTATTTCAAAGAACACTTAGGCCTGCTTCATACGCCATAATTTACATGTGCCCAATACCATATAAATAATGAATAAAATAGATGAGGCATTCCAGCCCATCTATTGTTCTTAATGTATTCAACACATGTGAAGTATGGCGTATGAAACAGGCATCATAGGTACGAAATGTGAATACACTTGAAATAACCGTTTGTATATACCGGGATGGCCAATTAGGTCATGCACAAGAGATATATTGAAGGAAGATCCCAAACAATGTATGTGTTTCTATTGTCTAGATGCACCTTACACTAGTTTTTTGTTATCAATCTAATGCCAGACTCCTTGGTTGTGCACCTATCATGTATGTGGGGTATTTGATCATCAAATGCATCCCCACCCTGGGGATTTTGATTAGTATTTTGGCCCAGAGTTGGGGCAATTTGAACCGAATGACTTTTATTAATATATTATGACCAATATTTATTGCCCCCCCCTCTGGGGCTTAACATTGATAGGTGCATTAGGGGGCCAGGAATGTCTAAAATGCCTTAAAATAGTTACTTGTTTGGTTTGAAATCTATACCAAGTTGGTATAAATTTAACAAAAATATTAACTTGGATACTAATTTTGGGAAATAGCTTTCATAATGTCAAAAGTCAAAATTTTGAAATTGTGAATTTTGAAATTTATACTGTGTCATTTTCAACACTACTCACTAGGGTTCTGTTATTAAACATGAATATATTTACAAATTTCCATAAAGTACTTTTCAAAAGGTCTCACTTTCTATTCATTTCTGTTCTGCTGTTTTGCGTCTATATTATGATACTTGATTCTGGCATAGAATTATGAATTAAAATGATATAAAGTTCAGTCATATTTTCCAGACACAATTTTATGGGTTGAATTATATAAAGTACTATAGACTTGGACATTCACAGTAGCTTGACATTTGGCAATGTTAAATTATCCAATTTATTTATTGGAATGTTTCTCCAGAAACGAAATGTACTTTGTATTAAGGTCTATAAATCATGACGCAATTGTATCTTGAAAAAGCATAGAAATACTTCGTTCGGTTTTAACTGTGATTTAATATTTTTAAGTCTTTTATTGTTTTAATAGTACCATTCTTCGAATACAAACGTTGTTGCACAAATAGCACGGGAAAGAATTTCAGCCGTTGATTTCGTTCAGGACTTCAGGCAATCTGAAAAGTCAGTACTTGCTTCACAAGGTTCTGCTTCGGGATTAATGGCAACATAAACCTTGATGATATATAAATCTTCATCTATAGATTTACTATATTTCGCTCGCTCTTCATCCCCAAACGGTACTGACATTTGTGACTGTTGAAAACTCTCCTTGCTTTAGTATTTACGCCTCACAAAGGTCTATATGCCTTCAGAAATCTCTCTTCTTTCGATATCACTTGCCATCGTTGAAACTGAGTTATGGTCTGAGAATCCGAGTGGAGGAACAACTTCAGGAACGTTGTAAAATTTCGAAATGTTCGTTAAGATTTTATCAAGAATGTTTGATCCTCTAGTAGCATTTTTCACGATCTGTTTTAAGGAAAACGAATTGCACAGTTGGCGGTGTTTGAATTGGTTGAAGTCGCCGGTTAGGATGATGGCAGCTCCTGGGTTAGCTGTTAGAGCGTGGTCAAGGGACTCGGTAAGATAAGCCAACATGGCCCTATTATCACTATTTGGCGGATGATAAATGGCTCCCAATACGATTGAATTAATGCCACGTGGTAGGCGTCTTGGTTTGATTAATAGCCACAAAGCTTCAAATTCAGGGTTCGAGAGATCCTTCAAATGGACTACAGGTAGACAGTTTTTCACGTAAGCGCACACGCCCCCACCTCTTCTACCATCTTCTTGATCGGGCCTAAATAGAGTGAACCCACTTAAGTTTATCACTGCGCTATCAACGTTGGAAGTGAGCCACGTTTCGGTGATAACTACAATGTCTGCAAGGAGATTAGAGACGCTACCAGAAAGTTCATCAATCTTATTTACAAATGCAAGAAGAAAGGACATTTCGCAGTAGTCTGTCCAGGGCGCGAAATAACGGCCGGTCAACGGACAATGTCCGGCCAAAACGGCCATTTGTCTGGCGATTTCGGCCGAAATCGGCAATAA